GGGGGAGAAAGGCCTAACAATTCTATAAATCAAATTATTTACATGTGAATTGTGATTACAAACTACACCTATCTATACTATCGCCTGTGGGGAAATAAATGTGCTAGTTATAAAGTAACAAAACATACTGGAGATTGTTGTTGCCGTAATTGCGGCGCCGCCGGTGACTGGCCAGACATCGCGACCATAGCGGCTATACGTCCCACAAGAATGCGGACCTGTTGTAGGCGTTGGCGAACTCGTCGTCTCAGTTTGCGCTGAATGGTTGTACAGTAGATAACGGGACACTCGCTATCTGTACAGTGTTTGGCGATAGCAGCACAGGGCTATCAATTGCTTGCATAGGGCGCAGTGACCGCCCCCGCCGGGCGCAGCGGCCGCCTTTTGGTTAACCAGTTTGAGTCGGTTAGACGTTGCCTGGCGTTGACAGCGCCGGGCGTGTTGTACGGCTTTTTTATACTTATGACACGATGGGAGGGCGCAGTTCGCGTCCCGACACCGGCACGAGTGGGCCAGAGTCTGCGCGCAGCGTTGGATCGCCGATTGGTCGGCCGGAGGGGCGTTCGCTCGGCCAGTATTGCCGGCCCCGTTCGCTACCGGCGCCACCTCTACCCATTGGCCTACAATTAGCATAGTACAAAAACATGATTATTTTAAACATGATAAGTTATCAATGATAACATGGTCATAAGTTATGACTCATAACGTGTTAAACATACCTATAAGTGTCAGCTGATCCATGGCGTGGGTGTGACCGTGGCGTTGATAACAGGCCACACAGAGATCAAAGTGATCGCATTGACCGCAATGATAGCGCGCGTCGACTATACGTGTTTCGCACGTACGGCACGTGTGGATAGTCGTGCCATCACTAGTACTATCGCCCGATTCGTTAAGCATTTTAATTAAATTATAAGCAAATTATAATTTATATACAGTATTAACAACTCAAGTCACCGCGAGTTACTAACTTTGTGACATGGTTAGTCTAACTGTTAGACTTTAACAAATGACTTACATCACTTTTTATTATTATTGAATCACCGTTTATTCTCTACACCATACATAAATTACGTTATCATATATAAATATTTACCGTAATCGTTAGTTTAACCCTTTAATTATAAATCAATGGATAATTAAGTGTTTCTGATTTAATTCAACAGCTAATTGCTGTCTATTTTTACAGCAAATAGTTTTATAGTATAAACAAAAACATTGTATTTCTGACAATCATTACACTATTTTCACGAAATATTTTATTTAACTTTTCCAGAAAACAAGTGTTTTTTTTGTGCTGTTTTCCTATTATTTAAAATTCAACTTTTATTTTTATTTAATATTAATAATAATTGTTATTATAATTTATAAATAAAACTATGATTTAATTAACTTCAATTAACTTTTTATTTTAATTATAATTTATAACATTTGTTTAAATCGTTTATACATTTGAGTTTATACTTTGCATAAAATTAAATTATAATAAAAAACTTATCAAAATTAAAATCAATTTAAACGGACAATACATGTAGAGATAGGATATATTGAGACACAAAACAACACATTTATTTATAATTTATAGTTTATAAGTACTATAATATTTATATAATAGTTTACAATAACATTAATTAAATGTTAGATTAAAACTATAAATATTATAACATTTTATAATTGTTTTATTCCCGGCTTTTGTCCCCAAAATAACATTGGTTTCAGTCATTTAAATATGACTTTTAATTATTGTTTTTGTATTTATAGAGATTATAATTATTTAATTTATATATATTTATATATTGGTCTTCTCTATACTATATTTATAAATATAACTGTAATTACAATAAGTTTTAATTTTTAAAACATTGCATTACTTTTAATAGTAATGATATTTATATTATTAATTATAATAATAATTAAGGAATGATTTATTTTAAATATATCCTAAAGTGTTGAGTGGTTTTAATTTTATTATTAATGTATTTAACATTAAATCAAATTTGGTATCAATTTATACTTATAACAAACAATTAATTAATATAATTAAAAGGATATGTCTTTACTTATAGTAATAATTAAAACTGGATTAAAATAACGTTAAGTTATGAGAAAATATCAAAATTATTTTGATTAATAATTAATTAAAATTCATTAACTTTTAAAAGTGATCATAAGTTATGATTCATAACTTAAATCAAATACTAATAACTAAATAAGTACTAAAAAACATAAATAATAACTAAATTAAATGTGGTTTAAATGAAACACTCGTTCCCTTCCTATTGATCTCTCAGTTAACGAGAGACTAATTTTATTAATTAAATAAATTAATTAAAAAATAATTAAATGTAATAATAAATTAAAAAAGTCGTATAATATGTCATCAAAAATTCAAATTCAATAATAATAATAATATTTTTCAAATCAATTAATCAAAAGTCATTAAAAATGACAAAAACAACAGAAATATTTAAATAAACACAAAAAATCAAAGCAAACCCTTTCGGGCAAAGACTCTGGCGACTGATCCACTGAACTGATCCAACCGGTGATACCGACCGAATCACCACTACTTCATATCGCCGTCGGATTCGATCTGTTTCTTAATCTTCAGCATAATATTAGTGAACCACTGATCCAAACGGGAGATACTATCGTAATCGGCAATAACGGCGGTATAGCCCTCGACGTCCTGCTCTTCGAGCCGATCCAACAGCTGTTTAACGAGTTTACACTCGCGAGAGTCGCCAAACTGGGGGTACATCTCTTCGTACTTCTTGATGGCCAACTCGGCGTTCAGCTTATCGATGCACAGGTGGCACAGCGCCGCCCGGAAGTAGTAGTCTTTGGCCGAGTATTTCAGTAGCGGTGACTCTATGGACGCGTTGGCCACAGACTCGTAGATGTCGATCGCCTGGAGAGGACAGGTGTATGTATTAATTAGTTAGGTATATGTGATGGTATGGGGGAACGGGTGGTCAAAGTTGGTGCCAATGTGTAAACTGATAATCAAATGCTCATAAAAATTTGATGTAAAAATACAGCCAAACATTCATTGTATTTTGAGAGAGA